GTGTGTGTGTGTGTGTGTGTGTGTGTGTGTGTGTGTGTGTGTGTGTGTGTGTGTGGCTTTAGAGGTATGGTGTGAATGAAGGTTTTGTTAGGGTTAGGAATTAAGTAATAATGGTTAGTTTTAGGGAAAATGTCAGGGTTGGACATTAATAGTTACAAAAATGAATGGAAGTCAATACAAAGTCCTCAGTTTGATGCGAATACAAGCATGTGTGTGTGTCCTTGTTTTTGCTACTTGGTGGGGATGAATCTTCAGGAAAATGCAGCCTCGTGGGGACCGAATGCTCCTTGTGGGTCCAAAGCCTGGTCCCAACGACTTTGGAGGCTGATTTTGGGTGGGAGGGTTGGGTTTAGGACCAAGGTGTGAATAGTTTAGGTTAGTTTTAGGGTCAGGTAGGTACCTGTGAGGTTAATTTTAGGGTAAATGGTCAGTTAGGCTATAAAATTACCAAAAAAAATGAATGGAAGTCAATGGAAAGTCCCCACAAGGATAGAGAGACATAGTATGAGTGTGTGTAGAATTATTCTAAATCTCGTGTTGAAATAAAAAAAATGTGCAAGACCTTAAAATAACAAAAATAAATTTATTTAGTTTCAGGAAGACATTTAACAAGGCACAATCAGAGTTTTGCTGAACTATGTACATAAATAAATATCTCACGTAAACAAAGTTAAACTATGTTTAAAATATCTGAAACACAGCTGTAATCTACAAACATGACAGTAAATAGAAAAATAAATAAAGTTTCTTTTTCTCATGCACATGTTGGCAGAAAACTACAGACTAAATTTGTCAGACTAGAAGATATTTGACTTAATAGCATTTATTGTCTTGGCTAAAGCTGCATTTTCTTTATTTCTTTTCATTTTTTTTTACCAGAGTCACGACTGAAGGAGAGTCAGGAATCCCAAAATGTAAGAACCAACCAGGTTAAGCAGCCAAATAAAATCACTGAGGACAAACAAGCAGTCAGAACAAGGAACTGAAATGAATACTGATCCATAAATGTTTTCTCTTCGGGTTTTGGCACGGACTCTGATGTTTTTATCCTGAAGCGATGTGACTCGGAAGGAGGTGATTGTCAGGAAGGGGGTTTTCTGGATTTCCTAATTTTCTTCAGCTTCTCTTGTCTGACTGTGTCGTCCTGGAGATAAGAGAGCTCGGATATCCGGTGGATGAAAGAGTGAGGAGCTCCAATCATTGGGTCTGGATAGGTTAAAGCTTAAAGAGGAAGAAAGTGGAGGGAGAAAGGAAAGAGAGCTGGTAGGATGAGCTTTTTATTGCAACACTCTGGCATCGTGGGAAAAATAACACACCAGGTTGCAGCTTTGCTTACACTGTTCAAATTAGTTAACTGTAAACCAGTAAAGGAGAAAAAATATTGTTTCTATGGTTTATAACACAACACACTTAGACTGGTAGTAACAAAGTACACTGTTTAGTTTAAAACGGGGGAAAAAAGCTACACAAAACGGCCCGTCCTAAACAGGAAAWACAAGTGAAGTTTGAACTTTTTACACAAACTGAATTCAAAGAGTCAAAACAAGTCAAACAATTAACTGAACTCACTTTTCTGATTGTCTTTACCAGTCACTGGGTTGTGTGAAGAATAGTTCACCTTAGGTCTGTGAAACAAGGAGACAGTAAAGGTGACACTGGGCCGAGGACAAAGCTGAGAGTAAAGTAAAAARGTAACGAAAGAAAAATACCTGTTTGGCTTGAAGTTCTTTTCTGAGAACAAGTTCTTGCCATTAAGAACTAAAAGGGAGGGTAAGACTGGACTGGGCTTCACCCCAAACCTTTTAGTATAACTGAAAAGCGTAAAAAAACATTATGCATGTACCATACGTAGCACTGCTGGGATAAACCCTGTACTGGAAATATTCTGTGTCTACTTTATTATTATGAAAGATTTCCAGTAGTGCTTTATAAATCAGTAAAGTTGTGTAAAACTATGCAGCAAGTACACCGGTGTTAATCTACTGGTTTCACCTCAGTGTAAAAGGTCGCCCAGCGTGGCTGCGGGGGAAGCCCTCAGTGAGCCCAAAGGGACGCAGGTTTGCAGCTCTGTAGTGATCACTCAGCAGTGGAGGAATCACAGTTCTGGTTCTGTCCAACCTGGTAACTAATCAAAACAACAACAGCGTGTGAAGTCTCAGTTTAAATAGGACCAGCTCTTTTATAATGTGATGACAGCTCCACCTAGTGGCAGTCAGTTTACATTCCAGCACCAATACTCACATGTCTTATCAAACAGGAAGTGCCTTCCTGATACGTCATTCTTCTGATTAATGTCCTCTGACTGCAGTTTGCCATCTTTATCCAGGTTTGGTGTCCTACACAGGTTGAAGATGTAGACTTTTAGAAGGTTTTTCTGTTTTTTTCTTCTTTTTTAATATGATGATCAAATCATAATTATGTTTTGATAAAAGTGGTTCCGTGGTAAGACTCAGTTTTAGTTTTAAGCAGAGGTATATGGTACATTTACTTTGTTACAGTACTTAAGTAAATTTTTTTTGAACATCTGTAATTTTACCAAGCATTTTTAATAACCTTTTTTTTATTATGCTAGATTCAAATCATAAAAAATATACTTTTACTTTGTCACTTTAAAATGTAAAACCTAGTTACATCTTACAAATTTGTTACTTAAGCACTCTAAAAACGAAGTGTTGAATTTATTTCACCAAGTTATATCAACGGGTTCCAGTTAACCGAGCTGAGTAAATGTAAAGCAATTCACTCTACTTGGTTTAGCAAAACCAGTCGACATAACTTAGTTAAATAAATTCAACACTTCATTTCTTAGAGTGTATGTACAAGTAATTTTACTTCCCCAATTATTGTGAGCAGTTTTATGACTAACTTAAGTACTCCTCAGTGAAATTTATTTTCTTTGTCTGTTAGGGTATTTGTACTTTTACTTATTTTTTTTCAAGTACTATAAACAAGATTTAAGATTTTTGATTTAGTAGTATTTAGAAGTGTAAGAGTGTTAGTGTTAATACGAACAACTGAAATAATTTAATTGAATCAAATGCTGCTTAATTACATGTTAGGGTCAATCCTTGGTTGTTATTTTTGTTACTGATGACTTCTATTTGGTTTGTGAATCAGGGGAGGGATCCACCACAGTCATAAGAACTACTGGTCACAACAGTTCCATATGGGGATTAAAATCTGGTCCTAATCTGGTGAAACCTCATTTTGGGGCCTAATAATTCTCCACCGCTTTCCTGGTGCCCGTTTATTACAGCACTTACGGTAACACGCTGTCTCCGGTGGAGGATCCACCCTTACAAAGGTAGATTCCAGGTAAATTCCTAAAAAATAACAAAAATCAGGCGTATCAACTTTTGAGATTTTAATCCCCTCTTGTTTAAGCACAATATTTAAATAATCAAATTGTTTTAAATGACGAATTACTTGTAAAACTACCCAGTTTAGTAAACTTTGAGGCTTTAAAATAGCAATAAACATTAAAATCCACCATATCCATTTTTTAGAGAGGTTGCAAACCGAATGTAAATGAACTGCGCTACACATAAATAATTCACAATAAGACATTTCTTTCACTTCAGATTAATAATTCTTACCTTTTATTTCTGAAGCCTCTGAATGAAGCTCTGTCGCTCATGGCTTCTACAACAGATGTTAACAGTTAAGCTAGCTGTCCCTCCGAGCTACCTTTTTAACACCAGGTGGTTAAAACAAATTGATGACTCACTGTTCATGGGATGTAATAAAGGGCATTTTCTCATCGGAYTGTGGCCGAAAACTGCTCGTCCTCCCCCTGCTCCCATCCTCATGTATGATGCTGGTAATGCAGGAGCAKCAGGGCCGCGGCTAAAGCTTCCTGGTTCTGAAGCCACGGCGGCAGCTTATTGATGGTTTTACCTGGTCCTGTTGGAGCTGCCGCAGGTTTCTGCAGAGAACATTACTTTGTAGTGWACACAACTGACTACAAGGTAATGCAGGACGTTACTTCCTGTCTGAACGTCGAAACGGCTCGCTGTAGTAAAAATGCGTCACCGTAGAAACCGCGGTTTTATTTCATTCAAGGATGAAGGACCAGGATTTTTACTTCGGTTTTGTCCACCAAGTGCCTGTTTTTTATTTTTCTTCCTTTTAACTAATCCTAAAAATATATTTTTGCATCACATAATCCATAATCCTACAACATATATTTTAAGATCACTTTMTCTTACAAAATTGCCTGGCCACATTATACACCTGAGTAAACTGTTGTTATAACTAGCAAATTCAGTTTTGTAAAGTATGCTCCAAATGATCATGTTTCTAAATGTAACTCATCACATCGAAATGAGGATTAAATATAAATGTGATTTTTGGAGAAATAGTCAAGTTCTGATTAAAACGTTTGCAAAATTGCATTTTGTCAAAACATCATTAATAAATGCCTTATCAATGTATCAACTGAACTGTCTGAAATATAATTGTAAAACAAAATTTTGTGCAAAAATAGCTTAAAATTTTGACAATCCCTGTGAGCTAGAAAAGTTTGTTCCTTTACAGCTGGGAAATTTTAATATTCAAATACTATCTGAGGTTTCCTCTTAAAGACATCAAAAATTCCTCATTAAAATTACGATTGAGACCAAATCTTATTGTAACCAGCAAGAAAAATTGTCATATCTGGATACACTTATATCAGATTGATACAGGTATTAAAATGTAGCTTGTAAAGCCAGGAATCAGAAAATGTACTTGTGTAATTTTGACCAAATTTGACTTAATCCTCATTTCAATMTGATGGGTCACAAATATCAATATGACCTCCATAAAAATTAACAGAATACTGCTTGTTTTTAGCAGTTTACCTGATAAAAATCACATCYTGCGAACAGTATCTGGAAAATACTAAAAAATTATTCCACAATTTCACATTAAATGTAAACGTGACATCCTGTATCTGACATTTAAATTTTTGAAAAATTATTACATCGACCTACTGTTGTGGGTTTGACAAATCTTTATTTCAGGAAAAAAAAATTCTTAAGTTACTTGGGTTAAGTCAAGAGAAATATTCTTACTTGTTAATCTAAGGGNGAGTTAATGTATGGTGCAGTCAAACACAAAGACCAAAGCTGTTTTTTGTCCACATTTTTATTGTACAGAGTCCATTGAAAACCTAAAAATAGAAAGAAAAAAACAAACATTAGAAAGACTATTCATTTGTCTATAAATACAAGCAATTAGTGTTCTGCTTTGTAAAGATCTCTTCAAACAAAGATGTGGTTTCAGACACATTTGGCTTAAGAACAGCTAGTTTTCACCATTGTCGATAAGATGGGGAAAAAAGAATATACATCATTAACCACGTCAGAAGGTGTGTTTATATCCATGTTTCTCCATCTCACCTTGGATTCAGTTCATCCGTCGGACGAGTCTGTTGATCTGGTCCTCCCTGTTGCCAGCATCACCTCCCTCCACAAAGTGAGTGGTCTTCTTGTTCATMCCACCACGGGGAGATGACAGCTTGAACGGCCACAGGAAGTTGTTCGCAGGTTTAAAGTTCTTGCCAACTGTGAAGATCTCATGGATGAGGTCCTCAACGCAGATGATGCCATACTTGCCTGCAGACGAAAAGGCCGTGTTATTTAGCAGCTCTGATAACTGATTAATACTTTTTTTTTTCAGACACGAGTAATTTTACATTTTGATGAGGAAGCTCTTAGAATAACATCTGTTCATTAGGTCTGCTTAGTGAACCAGACTGTTACAGCCCATTAATTCAAATGTTTAAATTCTGATAATTCTACAAGCTTTTCAAATAAATGTTAGGCCATGTGGTTTCAGACACAACTGGCTAAGTTCAGTTTTTTTTCACCAAAGTCGATAAGACGGGGAAAAAAGTGTGCATCATTATCCACCAGGCATAAATGTGAAATTCGAGGTTGTAATTTTTTTATATATAAAAAGCAAAAAATAAAATTGTAAAAACAATTAGTTAAACTGTGTTCTTGTTACTTCTTGTGCAGAGTCCTGTTTATTTTAAACTACACCAAGTATTAAAACTTCGTACCAAGTGACTTCTCGATCAGAGCATTGTCTACGAGGGGAATACGCTGCTTCCTTATTTTGCCATAGCCACGTTTGTAGACGAGCTCACGCACAGACTTCAGGTTGGGGTATCTGAGGAAATGACAAGTTACAACAAAAAATGTCTTATTAGTAAAATTTCCAGCAATAATGGGAGCCCTATATGCATTTCAGATTACAGAACATTGCATTGCACCTAATTTCTCTCTGGGATCAATAAAGTATTTTTGAATTGAATTGAATTCCTACTGTTATTGAGGAACAAGCTTTTAACYCAAACACCGAATCACACTACTTGTGTACACAAAGAAGTCAAAACTTTGATGTGGCTCTTTAGTTAAAGGCCTTTTTTTTTTTTTACTAAACTTCACGTAGGAAATTGCACAAATGTACAAGCAACAAWTTATATTCTCTAAAACAGAATAATTCCTTGTGAACTGTTATGCGACAGAGAAATTAAATATGACATGTATTATGAGTTAACCAGCACAAGCACTGATCTATCTTCAAACAAAAATAATTCAACAGTACAGTGCACCTCCACCGACCAACTGTAGATAAAAATCTAAATAAACAAAGCGAGATGTTTCAGGATGTGATTTGGAGCTTTCRGGAAAYGTCAACTTCATATAATTCAAATGATGATGTAGGTTAAATAAACTGAAGGTCTACAGGTCAACAAAAATGCTCAACATGTTCGAGACAAGATAGTCTCACTAGATTTTGCACACACAATATATCAGCACTGGCTGATATTGGTCATTTTTTAGAATATCGGYATCGTTCTGATWTGTAAAACTGGGCYGATATTGATTTCTCACTTTTTAGCTGCGTTTCTGTTTTAGGAGGGGACATRGTTGGTGGAGCGGCATCTGTTTGATCACGATGGTGAAACTGACGCTGCACAGCCAGGAATAACTGAAGGAGCCATGTCAGAGGTCTGGTAGTTTATTTGCAGTATTTAAAAAAGACCTGTGTGTTTGTGAGTATATGTATAATATAATTTGTATGTTTGTATAATATCGGTAATCGACCATAACAGCAATTATTATTTCTATCGGCTGAAATTTTCATATCRGTGCATCCCTAATTAAATTCCAAGTAATGTAACTGTTACAGCACAAATCGTGAATGCTAAGACACGGAGCCACAGATTCTCTAATGAAAAACCAAATTGTGTAAAAACTGTGTTTATTTTTACGCAACTAGGATAAGTTATTCCAATATCCGAAGCTACCTTAACAGAAAAAAATAAACTTTATTCAAAACGAACAATTAGGTACTTTATGACAAAACACACATTATTTTTTAAACYAGATTCATTTAAAAACCAACAACAGTAAAATGATCCATAGCTCTGTAACGGGTTTGGATGTAGGGAAAGTATCAGCATTATAAAATGTGGTTTCAGACAAAACTGGCTTTGTATCAGCAAGTATTCACCACGGTCGATATGACGGGGAAAAAAGTTCTGCATCATTAACCACATTCCAAACACTAAACAACTATTTACAGGTGTAAATGTTAAAGTTAGGACCTTACCCCCAAGCAATGTAAGGCTCTGCAATCCTGAGCATGTTGATGGAAGCCTTGTTCAGCTTGACGAACACACCGTTGAAGATCTGGCGGAGACGGAGAAGCTGCAGGACTTTGCGGACTTTTGGGGGGACGCCGTTAATACTAGAAAAGGAGGGGGGGGGGGTGTTATAATTAGTGCTCAGCTAATTAAACACTGAAAAAACAATAACACTGATAGAGGTTTCAGACAATGTTGGCTTTTGTTACAAACTCATATCTTCATAGTCGATAAGTCGGGGAAAGATTGTTCATCATAAACCACTCAACCAGACATCTTGGATTAGGCATGTTTACATGGATTGCTTCATTTAAATCAATGTTGAGCTCCTTCAAAACAAAAACACAATCTTGTGTTGCAAATATAAGCTGACTGCATACAAATAATGTAATTTATCAATTTATTTAGAAATCCCTTTTCCAACTGTTTAAATCAGACTTAAAAAAATACTATTTTAGAAATCTATTAACATAACTTATTAAACTGATTACTAGCTGTTTAAATTTTAACATACTGTAAAGTTTAAAGACATCCAATTAAAAAGAATGTTAAACCATTGTTGTTAAAGATCGGCGTAACACATTTTTGTTTTGATTACAGAAATCCACGATAACCAAAAACGCCAAATTAAAAAAACACTCCAGTTGTTAAAAAAAACTGCTCATTTTCTGAATACAAAGTAAGTGTCTGTAAAGCATTAAAATTAACTCTTTAGTACACAAAGTTTTGGATTGAACCCGTCAATTTGATCTTTCACCTTAACTTGGTCAATTTCACCAATTCAAGTTTTGAGCAGGAAATTACATCCCAAACCACACAGGTTGAATGTACGCACATTGGAACTGCAGCAATCCATGTAAATTACACACCAATCACGTCTAGACTAATTAGGCCCAACTCACCCTCTGATCCTGATGACAAAGGCCAGTTTGGGCTCAGGCGGCACATAAAAGTTCCCCACTTTGCGTGCCATGCGGGCCAGGCGGATCTCACGCCTGTGCATCTGCCTGTACTCCTTGTGGTACTTCTCTGCCCTCTTGAAGATCAGCTTCCTGGTCACTTTGCGGACCTGATGCACACCAGCAAATATTCAGGGAGGCCACAAACATGCCGGAAACTTTAATCTCTCAATGGCTGCGTTAAATWATAAAAACCAGCAGCAGAAACTTCATTTACCTTCTTCTCCGCCACAAGCTTTTTGATGCGGAGGGCCTTCATAGCAGCGTAGGCCTTTCGCCTCTTGAGAAGGCTCTCAGGGACCGACGGAACCTTTTTTCTGTCCAGATAAACACAGAAAATCGGGTCAAATCTTTACTACATTGTCTAAATTTATCACGGTAACAGGTTCCTAAACTGAGGTGGCATGCTGCTGCTAACTCACGGCTAGCTTGCTAGCATTCTCGTTTGCCGGCTTTCATAAAACTTATGAACCTAGTCGTACAGAATAAAAAATGCATTTAGATTAAATCAMATTCATTCTCATAATAGTAAAAATGTCGGACGTAACGTAGTGCACGGAAATGAACAAGACAGCCATGTTGTCTGCTGATGCTGAAGATATAAAGTAACTTTAAAAAAACAGTAAACAAAGTCAATATACTTAAAAATACTAATAGTATTTAACTATGTAAGACTTAAACAATACAAATATAGACACAACTGTTTTAATGCTACTCTCTTGTGCCTGGATGTAGTTAGATTTTATTTCATAGTAAAACACTCACTGTGCGTCCGCCATTGCGATCGCCGAGAAAGAGAATTTTCTTTTTGCGCATGTGCGTGTTAAGGATTTTTAGGACCTTTGAGGCGTGTCTTCTCTGCTGCCTGATTAAAATTAAGATCATTGGCGTGTGAAACATTATTTTTTGTTTAATTTAAGAGCTAAATCAACAAAACACACTGAATCTAAATTTATTACGCGAGGTCACTAATTTAGCGCAAAAAATACAAAGCCTCTTTTATGTGGAATGAACAGCAAGTAAATAGAATAGATGGCACATAAATTTGCTTTTTTACTAAGATATCCTGTACAGCTCTTTTAAAAATAAAATTTACTAAAGCAAGAAAAGTAAGTCTAAAAAAATGTAGCCCTTAATCAAAGCCATTTGTAATTGATCATTTAAACAAAGCTCAAACAGGCCTACACGTACTGCGCTTGTTCTACCGGCAGAGGACGCAAACACCTCACTTTGCAGATTAGGATTAAGGAGACGGTTCGCACGAGAAAAACCTGCCTGAGCTGCTCTCACTGCTGCAATAGGACACATCATTTAAAGGCCTGGACAGTGTTTAAAAGGCGTTATCAAATAGGCTAATGGGAAACAACTCAGATAAAGAGCTACTTTCTTTTTTTTTTTTCACTCACCACTCTACTCCACCTTTGACTTTTTTCATAATTTGCATAATTATACACTATTTAAATATCTTTGATAAAACACATGTTTACCCTTTGGGTTTTATTAYGGCAAAAAAAAAATTTACATTTGCCTCAGTAACTATTATGACTCCCAAAAGAAGCTTGATTGGCACAATGCTGTCAATTTAACAATAATTTCCATTTTGTCTAAAAGAGAATATTACGCTTTGCCCATGCTGAATGGTTTAAATAACAGATTATTACACAGCCGGAAAAGGCTGCATAACATCCTATAGGATAATTGTGGGGGAAAAGAGATTAGGACCTCCTTTCTGCTAAATTATTTTTTAACAAAAACGTTTACTTTTTTATGTGGAGAAGATTTGCCTTCAGGTAATTAATTCGTAGCCTACTTGTTTTAAACGTGGAAACACACAACAAACTGTGTTTGCACATATTTTTTTGTCCACAAGTCTTTGTGCGCAAACTATTGCTGAGAGCGTATCTGGGATTCATGCTCCCACTTATATTTCAGTTAATCCCGCTTAGTTCTTGGACTATAGTTGATTAAGGCTCTGGGTTGTGTTTAAGTGAAAATGAAGCAAATCACATGAATAGCATTTGTAGTTGGACAGGTTCTTCTCTRATGAAACGTTTCRTCTCTCCTCCAAGAGACTTCTTCAGTCTGAGAGTTTCAGGCAAAATTCAGGCTTTTAAGCCCTGCCTCCATGTGACTGATACATCACATGGCTATCGTTGACACCTAATTAACACCTTTTGTTAACAGGGGGTGGAGTGAAACTGGCTATAGCAGCACTGTAGGAGGGGGACAACTGAAAACGGAGGCCTCCACCTCTGTTTAATGATDGACGGTCTTTCTTCACAAAAATGGCTTCTTTTACTCCTCTCTCAAACCARCGTTCCTCTCTATCAAGAATGAGAACATCCTCATCTCTGAAAGAGTGACCGCTGGCCTGTAAATGAGTGAAAACTGCAGAGTTCTGGCCATTAGATGTAGCTCGTCTGTGTTGGGACATTCTTTTGAACAGTGGCAGACAGAATGTCCCAACACAGACGAGCTACATCTAATGGCCAGAACTCTGCAGTTKTCACTCATTTACAGGCCAGCGGTCACTCTTTCAGAGATGAGGATGTTCTCATTCTTGATAGAGAGGAACGTTGGTTTGAGAGAGGAGTAAAAGAGGCCATTTTTGTGAAGAAAGACCATCCATCATTAAACAGAGGTGGAGGCCTCCGTTTTCAGTTGTCCCCCTCCTACAGTGCTGCTATTGCCAGTATCACTCCACCCCCTGTTAACAATAGGTGTTAATTAGGTGTCAACGATAGCCATGTGTTGTGAGTATCAGTCACAAGGAGGCAGTGCTTAAAAGCCTGAATTTTGCCTGAAACTCTCAGACTGAAGAAGTCTCTTGGAGGAGAGATGAAACGTTTCATTAGAGAAGAACCCGTCCAGAAGACCTATACAATTTTTTTTTCTTTTTGATTTTTTACCTGGATTACTGAGATGCATCAGGACAGCATTTGTAGTTGACATTTGATATTATCAAAGTCACTTATACAATGAAAACCAAAGAGACTGTCATAAAAATTTAAACCAGTTKATAATTTTCAACCTGACTGTAGCCAGATCAAAGCTTTCAAATGATAAGGCCGTTTGTTTAGTCTTCACACTGCGACCGATTAGTGATATGACATCAAGCTTACATCATCACCCGCTGAGCTGCGCTCCTCTCCGTCAGCCGCGCGCTCTCATTGGGTCCGGCGCTGGGAGGACTGCATAAATAGCGCGTGAGATGCGGTTCAGGGTGACACGAGTGGTGGAACAGCAACAGCAGAGACAATCCCCCTGAAGGCTCCGAAAGCTTTGCGCTGTAACAACCGAACCCGAACCCATTTCACCCCTCCACAGAAGCCGAGTCTGTGCCCGCGCTCGCGTCCAACAGGTTGGGATCAGACGGACGCTCTCCTCTCTCCTCCGCCGCTYACGTTCATTTCAAACTGACGGCCGAGATGATGATGATCATCATCGCGGAGTTCTTCGTGGTTCTCCTCAAGGTGCTCTGGGCTTTCGTCACCGCCGGGGCCAAGTGGGTCGTGCGGCCCAAGGAGAAGAGCGTGGCGGGACAGGTGTGCGTGATCACCGGCGCCGGCAGCGGCCTCGGCCGGCTGTTCGCCAAGGAGTTCGCCCGGAGACGAGCGACCCTGGTGCTGTGGGACATCAACAACCAAAGCAACGAGGAGACGGCGGAGATGGTGCGGCAGATTTACAGCGAACTGGACGATCCGGTCACCAGAGACGGTAAGTCAGCCTTTTGAATGACACCAGGCTTTACGCACGAGTCTAATCACCCAAAAATCCTCATTCTAGACTGTTTTTTTTTGTTTGTTTTTTTGCTTTAAGAAACTGCGTTTTAAGGGGTCAATTAATTGGTTCAAGAATTTCTTGAATCTCAGGTTATTCTCTTCAAAATGAGCTGAAATTTTTCAGAAAATAAATTATTTGCCAGCAGCAGTGGCGCCTCCAGATTTTTTGGGTGACCATGTGGGGACCACTGAGAATCCTGGGGATACAGAGGGGGGGCTGGGGGTGTGTGGGGCACCACTGTAGGGGTATGATGTAGAGCAGTGTTTCCCAAAGTTGGGGTCTGGACCCAAAGTGGGGTCCCGAAACATCAAGGTGAGGTCCTGAAAATATTTTCTGAATTAATTATATTTTTGCCTTAGTTGTTACAAAAGGAGTGAGGTTAGTTTATTTAAAATGGATAAATGTAGTATAAAAATATTGTTACTATGCCCATGTTTAGTT